TAATTCATATTTAGTGGTAAAAAAAAAACAACAACAAAATAATCCTTGTGATGGGAATATTGACGTTTATTATTAATATATACGATAACATTAAAATTTATAAAATTTTTGTGTTAAAAATAATACATTATTTTGTTGTTTTTCACAAAAATAAAAGTAATTGTGAGCGAAAACAGCTGGTCCCATAATGTCATAAAAATTAACAATTTACATTGTGCAAGGCGAATGATCGAACAATATTCAAAAGGTCTATCACTTTTTTTGCGTTCCTGTTGTGGTACATAAAGTTTTAAACCACATCGGATTATTCAAAACAAAAGATGAATGATTGCGTTGAAACGCATTTTCTTAAACAGAACAAAAGTATTCTTACAACTTGGTTTCAAAAAATAATGTACTTTTGTGATACTAATTGTTTTTTTAATTGTACAATTAATTAATCAGCGCACGAGTAAGTAATATACAATACTTGATCCATTAATTATTGTTTAAGTGTAAATATTTATTTTTGGTATTTTCGCCAAACGTATTTGATTTACGAAACTTGATTATTTATTTTTGAAAAGTCAATAAAATTGTAATAATTAATGAGGTAAATTCTTTTTCGACTATCTAATTACGATACACATAGCCATTGAAATTATTAACTTTTCTTCGGTTTTTTGAAGAATTTCACATATTTTTTCTTTGTGTGTTTGATTAAAATTTAAAGATTCATATTATAAAGATGATTTAACAAAAGATGTACTCACGTTTGGTATGACTCAATTGAAAATCGAGTAATATAGAAATGAAAGAACGTGAAAATATTGTTACATCAAATGATATAAATGAAATAAAGTTTTTAATTTAATATCTGCGGTAATCTCATCAATCTTTAATTTTTTAGAAATTTTCTACGTTTTTTTATTGTGTTAACGGGAAAACTTTTTCTAAATTAGGAAAAACGGTTATTTTATTATTAAGGTAGGAACTCGGACATCTATACACCTTCATCAATTAATTCTAAATATACTGGGGAACTACATTAACTTTTAATTATTATGATTATTTTCGTTCTAATAAATTAAATTATGAGTATAATTTTCTTGGATAAGATATAATTTATTTTCTTTGAAAATGAAAAAAAGGTAATGTTGACAAATCGATAATTTTCCATTGAATTATTAAATATGAAACAATAATATTTCTTTATAAATTTTAACTTAATAATGTTTTCATTTAAAAGATGTATTTTATTAAAGAAATTGTTTTTAAAAAAAGCCAAAATAAAAGATGACATTTTTTTTTATAAAAATGAAATTCCTGGCAGACAATATATTAAATATTAATGTTATTGCAATGGTATAAAATATAAATTACAGCATTATATATATTATTTTCTTTTAGATTAAGATTTGGACTTTATTAAAGGTTAGCCCAACACAAGTTTTAACGTGGAGTAGTACACTTTATATTGAATTTTCTTACAATTATTATGTAGAATGTTCAACAGAGATAAGAGTTTATTTGGAAGGCATCGAATAGTATTTTGTGTTCTCAATAATACAATGCGCACATATCGTACGTGCTTAAAATAAGTATTTTGAAAAAAATTAAAACCTTTAATCTTTATGGAATAAGTGTATTAGTCGTTAAATGGAGCGATGCAGGTTACGTTTGTTTGAAATTTCTTTATTATTATAATATGTAATTATTTTCGTTCCTTTAGTAAATGATAATGTCTGAAGTTTTAGCACAAAATATGTAACTGTATAAATGATTAAATCTTTACAGTTTTCAGATATAATTGAAATGAGAATGTGTACAAATTTCATTAATTTATATAAAAATAATAAGTTAAAAGTCTAAGTTTAAAAGTGCAATTAAGATAATTGAAATAAGAGTTATTCGTGAAAATTGTTGATTTCTTATGACAAACAAAAGTAAGAAACAAAATAAGTGATATTTTTATCCCATTTTCTAAATTAAAATTACATTATATCTCAAAAGTTTTAACTGCGAGTGTAACTGAATTATTTTGATTTAATCCATCAGATTTGGGTGAAATTTTTTGAAATATTAAGTATCCAAATGTTAAATAGAAAAATAAAATTACCAAATTGTTATTTTAATACTATACATGTATTTGGTTACAAAAAATTGATCATCTAAGCAGTTAAGATGTAATTATAATAAAAAAAGCGATAGATACCATCTAGGGACATGTTAAAAACAAAACTACAATCTATTTTATTTGTTTTAATAGTATTTGGTAACTAACCAATGACAATATTTATAAAGCATTATATTCATTGTTAAATATTATATCAATTAAAAAACTTTTACTTTTCTTATGACTTATAGAGAATCCATTTTTATAGATTATATCCATTATCGTTAAACAATGTAAAACGACAAAATAAAAAATGTAACAAAAATAACTTTTTTTTTATAAAACACTTATATAATAACATCATGAAAAGCGATTTTAGGTGGCATGTCTGCCAAAATCCAACAAATGAAATTAAAAAAACTGACATTATATTTAATGTTAAATATGATAAATATTTTTTTACTTGGGAAATGAAGTTATTCATGAATGTTATATTTTATAACATGGCATTTATCACGAACGCTTTACATTTAGAGTTCATTTGGGTTGTGGTAATTTATAGAATGTATTAATATTATTATTAAAAATAATGACATTTCAATTTATTCAAATTTTAAAATAATGAGTAAATATAGAAGAATCAAGAAAAACTTGACTAGAACTGGTTATATGTTACCATTATTTTCGTTTTTCGACATTTTGGATTTTAGTTTATGTCGACTTTCTGAAACGACTAATTCAATTATGGTTGGAATAAGCACATGATCAAACACGATTAAAAAAAAAAAACTCTGCTAAATTTGATAATAGAAAATGTTCAACGATCTTATAAATTTAATATTTGGTGTTTTTATTAATCATACGAACGTTGTATTTATGTCAACAAGCCATTTTGACTTTAAAAATCTCATACTTAAAGGCTTTGGGCTATAACGATATAAATTTTATACGTGAAAAATAAAATAAAAAATTAATAAAAACACGATGATTTAGATGATCAAACTTTCATTTAATTTATAAATAAATTAATAATATGATTTCTGAAGGATTTAATATTGCAGTCATAAACAATTAAAAAAACACAAATAAATTTTAATTACCATCAACGTTTAATCTTTAGAAACTCTATTCAGTTGTATATCAAATTACAATTCTATAATAATATATTATTGTAGTTTGTACTGTTTTAGAGGAGACAAAAAGTTATGGTTGTAAACAAAGGGTTTTATGATTTATGTATTGAAACGGACGAAGAAGTACTGCGGACTAAACTTTTATGCTTCGAGTTTTTTGAGAAAAGAATAACTGTTCGATAATGACAGTGTAAAGGAAATTATTAATCCTTCGCCAATTCAATGAATAAAGACATCCGTCATGAGTAATCCGCCTATCTTTTTTTTCTAAAATCCATTCGGAAACGACCTCAACTCACACGATTGCCTATCATTCACATCAACATTTCGGCATTCTCGTAATTTCATTTGCACGCCAGTTCAAAGAAAAAATATATATAAATTTTTTTTTCATCGACACACTTAAATGCCCGTCAAAATCCAATAAGAATAATTATACGTCGCCTTCTTCGGCTCGTTAATTCTCCGATTTATGCGAAATGTCACGCTCGCGGCTAAATCAAACGAACCATGCGACTTTTGTTTATTTTATGAATAGTTTTTAATACACAAGGANGAATAATTATACGTCGCCTTCTTCGGCTCGTTAATTCTCCGATTTATGCGAAATGTCACGCTCGCGGCTAAATCAAACGAACCCTGCGACTTTTGTTTATTTTATGAATAGTTTTTAATACACAAGCAGGGGGAATTTCCTTTGCGTCGTAATTTTCACAAATTTCCTAAAACTACACTTTTATGTCGAACGAAAAGGTCAAATTTATGTGGGACTTAATGGATATTTTAAATAAAACTGAAACAAATTTCACGAAACATTGGCACCCGGTTTGGGTTTGACACTTTACAAAAGAGCACAACAATACAATAATATGATTTAGTGAGGCTCAAATACGCGTATTACTCGATACTACAGTAGTTTGTTTTCTGCAAAACACTAAAAACTTTATATAATTGTGAACTCACACAATGTGATATCACAGTAGTTTAATAGGAATTCAAAAATTCATTTTCGATTACCATTTTATGTGTACATTACAGTGCCGTACAACTTCTGTTATTGTTATAACGAAAAACAATATTGCTTATGCAATGACCATAAAAAGTTTTCTGATAAATCAATCGTACACAATCCATCAAATGTTAATTATGAATAAATATTTTTTTAATGGTCGAAAAGAATTATTCAATGTTACCAGACAAGTCGAATTGGAAATTCTAAGGTCTAAAAAATCGTATAGCTACGTTTATCGTTTCAAAAGTATCCGCAATTTGGTGTTTTGCTAATTCATTAGTATAAAATTCGTTTTTTTATATTAATTTACTCGAGAAATTTTTTACGACGGAACGCGTTTAAAACATTATTCTGACTTTGTTCAAGCGAAGTGCAATCATTGTTTTATTGCAGTTGAGTATACTGAAACTATTTCAACTACACGGATGTTTAATAAAATCATATTAACGTGCTTCTCTGAGTTCGTCGTATTTGTTAATATTATAAAAAAATGTCACATATATGAGGTGACGATACACGTTAATAAACAAGAAAAAAAAAAGTCTTTTCCGACGTGTTTGTTTTAAATTAGGCTGAAAACATAATACGCGCAATAAATTTGACAAGTACAAATGTAATTATCTAATGTTTTTTCTTTAGTTGTATTTTTTATGACACATTGGACTCTTTGAAAATTCCAAGGCACGTTAAAACACAACTACTTGGAAAGTAACTATTTTATTGTAGTTTTCTGAGTAATAACATTGAGCAATTGACTTACCTATTGTTGTAAGTATAGAAAGGCAATACAGAAACGATGTGGCCAAATTCCATTCAAAACCCGTGTCGATTAGGTCTCCGTTATCTCTACCTGAACTACTCGTGTGGTAACTAACAGCGGCCGATTCAATTTCCATTTGTTGAGACAGCCGCCGTATCAAATCTTCCTGGAAACGATTCAGCTCCTGGGCCGCCAACCTAGTCCAGTTCTCCCGATACAGTATGTTTAGGTTGACGGTTATCTCCCAGATAGACTCGACAGTGCGGGCCCTGCTCTCTTGGCCCGCCGCAGCCAAAAGTGCGGCCGTCAGGTTGTTCACTTGTGCAGACGAGGGCATCAATCCGGCCAAACGCACAGGTCCACCGTCTTCGTCGCCGACGTCGCCCTCGATGCTCAAAAATATCAAAGCGCCGGCAAATGTGTACGAGACCAACAGGGCACAGACGAAAATGTTCTTCGCGAAGCTTTTGTAGCACTTGCGTTTTTCGTGAGCCAACCGGGCGCGTTCTACGCTGTCGTCGTCGCTGTCGCAACAAAAACACCCCTGGGGTTCGTCCATTTCAACCGATATGCCCGCCGCCGGTCGACCGTCGTACGAAACGGGATAGCAGCTAACAGCTGTGCCCTTACAAGTGCCGGTAACTGAAGTGTGGCCCGAGGCCACCGCGTAATTGTACGGTGCCGGTTGACCGCAACATGTCCGATCCATGACCAGCACAGTCGCGGTCAACCCAGATAACCCTTACGGAAACACACCATTAGTCAGTTGTTCAAAGGCAAACCTCTCATAGTAAAACCTAAAAATATTAAGAAAATAATTAGTTTTAATTAACCAACGCTAAAATTATAAAATAAAGACAAATCTTTTGTTGAAAGCAACGTAAGCTTTGGAATGACAAAAATTATTATGTGTTTGAACAAACATAACGTTTAAATTACTATTAATTATGAATAATTTCCTTTGTTACAATTTATGATATTATTTCGCTATCGATATCAACATAGTTGTTAAGTTTACGGGCTTAGCTTTAAATGGCTCTTATAAAATTTTAAATAAATATTAACCGTACAATGCGCCTTGTTGCACATTTTCAACAAGTTTAATAATTGATTTAATTAATTTATTAGGCAAAAACACTTTATGTTTAATGCATTTTGTTGGTAACTGTTCTAATAAATGCATTATTGAATTTATATAATCTCTTGGAATTAAACAATTTTCAGGTAATAATTATTTTTGGTTAACAGAAATCGCTTTTTCAACCTCATTCACCAATTAATATTTAAAAAATTCATTTTAACGAAAAAAAAATGCGCGTTAAAGAGATAAATATATTTTTTTAAGTGAATGAGAATAAATTAATAAATCAAACAACGATTGAGTGTATCGCATTAAATTGGAAAACTTAAAACAACTGAAAATCACTAGGTAGACAGTAAATAAAAGCATTTAATATTTCTCAAAAGGCTCGTGTATCATTTTAAGAACAAAGAAACATTTTTTAGAGATTAAATGGAATTCAAAGTTCAATTATGGTGTTTTATTTTATTGCTAGTAATAAGTAAATGATCGGTTTAATGTTTTGTTTTTAATAATTTATATTTAGCCAGACAAGATTCTAAAATAAAACATAATTTATTTTAATAACAAAATAAATATTCATACAAATTAATAGTTGTTAATAAAATATTTAAGATAACAAGATTATAAAATTTTCATATTGAAAATATAGACAAAAGAATTCTAAACTCTATTGGTAAATACGTGCAACTCTTAATAAACAAATTATTAGATAGCTGCGGTAGAAAATGTTAGAGTTTTATTCGGTCTATGGTCACGATACTGATGATTATTTCAAAATAACTTGCCCAAAATGAAATTTATACAGTAGAGACTTAATATCAAAATTAATGGCGGATCTTGGTAGATATCAAGTCATTAGTTATAACCTTCTCCTTCTAAAATTAAGTTTTTGCCATAACCTGAAAGCCAAAATACGCTAAAGTCATACGATCTTCTTAATCGATTATATAATCAACTTTAGCTTAATCATACTGTGATAAAAACCAAAAGTATTAGAATTTATAAATTATTTCTAGTCTGTTTAAAATGTTATCTGTCGATTCATACAGTCTATATTAAAAAAAGTGTAGTGACATCAACCGTAATCGAATGCGCATGTGCATGCACTAGTCGGTTAAGCAATTTCATCATTTAATAATGATCTTTTTTATCAAATGCATAAAAAAATTCTGCCTTATAAATTTACTTATCAAATTCGTTCTTTTATAACTCGACTTTTTCTTGGTTAATGTTTTTTAATTAGCTTTGATAATTAATGAATTACTCTTTTTATGAATAAAATAGTACTAAATGAATTTTAAACTTTAATATGGATAATAAAGTGGCCAAGTTTATAATGAATTAGGAAAATTATTTAAACAGCAAAAGAGACTAAGTCATACATCACGTAGGTAATTTATGTAATTACACAACTACTAAGTTGCAATAGTTAGACTGTTAAGTTTTTTTTATTAACCACAAAAAAAAAAAAAAATACTTTTGTACTTATTCTTCATTTTCTTAATTAAATTACACAGCTATTCCATAGGTTAATTTTGCATTTCACAGATGTATAATGCTTAAAATGCTTAACATTAACGAGCTTACATCAAAAGTACTGTTTTGTAACGGCTGCATCTAAAACATTTCCCTTGAATTATATTAACCTAATAGGTTTCTGATCAATAATGGGCCAAACGATTTTTTCCCAATATTTAGCGAATTCATTTTAATCATTTAAATGTAAATATATTTTATAAATTTGTTTTTTTAGCTGGGGGGATGGAATTCAATGAAAATATTTTGACCTACTCAGTTTAACTGATAAAAATTTTGTATTAAGAAAATTATAATAACACATTGTCACATTGATGACAACTCATTATTACACTGCATTTATAATGGAATAACTCGGTAATTAATATTTGAAATCAAGTAAACATATGTGGTCAAATATTCAAAGTTCATGCTAAATTTTACTACAATCCAGTAAATGCGTTCGCGTGTAGTTACTCGCTGAATTTATGTAGTCTACTAAAAACGGAGCCAATATTTGAGTAACAGTGTGCAATTTACTCATAAACTTTGCTGAATATTCAAGCATTTCAAATAAACTAATTGACATCAACTTGTCATTTTAAGGCCATTGTTCTAAGTTGATCGGATCAGTGTGATACTAACACATAAATCTGATAAAATGTGTATTTTATAAGGCCTGTTTGGGTGAAATATTTCAAATGATAAATCTCGCACGAAATAAATGCGAAATCGTACAAGTCCAATACATTTATTGCGAGTAAATGTTGCCACGATATGTGTATGTTCAAAAGGCAGAGAATATAAATGAACGGACATGGTGAACTTTCGACATATGGAATATCAAAGGTATTGTTAGACGCGCTTCTGTTTTACACTTATTTTACCATTTTTCTACATAATAATTCTTCCTAAACTTTATGTATATATAAATGCACGGTGTACATTTTTGTTTCAATAAGTCGGCCGTTAAAATTTATTATGAACACAACATAATAGTACAGTATTACTGTACTTGCGCTCATAAATAACCGTTACAACTATATCGTTTCCGAAAGTAGAAACGGTCGTTTAGATTTTTATTATATTTACAACATTGAACACTACTGTGGCGGCTTTCGTCTTTCCTAAGATTCAGTTCAACTTACAGGAAGGCCAAAATCGTTCGGTTGTGAAATCTCGTTCGGCACGAGATCTGAAAACCATTTTCGGGTCACCCGATAATGGTTTACTAATATTGTGTAAGCTCATGTCGTAAAGTGAAGTGACAAGAAAATATTGTGATGACGTGTTAAAGTACTTCATATCTATTCACACCATTAGACACTTAAAAATATGATGTACCTCCCGAATACGATATAAAAATGTTACTTTGAAATGTATATGCAACACGACTCTTAATTAACATGTTCTCGTATTGCTTGAAAACATTTTCCAACTTGATGTCCGTTGTTGTGATAAATTGATTCTAGCTTTTATAAGTACTAAAACACGTCTTTAACTAATCCATTGATTTTTTAAAACATAAACCAAACTAATGTTTTACTCGACTCGATCGGCGCTATTTTTGTACAACAAGTAATATATGAGTTCCTATAAACTAAAGTGGCTTTTCTATTTTTGTGAACATTTTATATGAAAACAGTTATATATTAAAGATGAAAAGGTTAGAATGGTAAAACGAATGGCATTTAAAAAGTATTTTTGTTAGACGGCGTGACGTGTGTGCAACTTATAAAAATGTTAGTGATTTGTTAACAAAAGAAAATTGTGAGATATTATTATTGATAGCGTTCTTTGAAGTTTATTTTACATTTAAGTTTTACTTAAAAAAAAAAATAGTTTCTAGATTTAGAAAAAAATAAATAGTAATCTAAATATTATTATATTCATAAGACTATTTCAATAAAATATAAATAAGAAATTTCTAAGTTTTCAATCATTTTTGCTATGAAGGGTCAGTAGCGTTTCCCCAAAAACCCTCTATTTTATTTATGGTATACGCTGATTTTGTAAGCGTATATTTTTCAATTTAAATAGTACATAGGTATTATTTTCCTAGGGTATACGTTAATTAAACATATTGCTAACGAGTATACGTCGTATACTCGTGTATACCCCTAAAAATACTACTGTGTATGGTGAATTACTCATTGAGGTTATCTTTAGTTCTGATATGGTCAAATTTTTGTTTTGATATTGCGAACTCTTTGTATCAGAAGTAATTTATTTAAGCGAATCATTAAAAATAATATAATATAAATAACAGTTTGATGATGATCTATATGACAAATGTTCTCAATTTTATATAGAGAAATACGTTATTGACCTTAGGTCAATAAATTCTTTTATAATAAAAATGAGTTCTCATATATGTTGACATGGATACTACTTCCTATTACAACAAAACAACTTTTTCTATATAACTGATTTTCAAACTAATTAAATTAGACAAAACTGGAAAAATAGCAAATGTTGTTTTTTTATATTCTTAAACTTTTAAAGACAATTAATTTATAAAAATGTCTTGGTTTATTCCATAAACTTAGTGCGGTATGACATTTTTGTGTAAAATGGCATATTTTTGATTACTCGTGACAAAGACATGAAATTAAAATTTTTAATAATTAAGTAGTAGTTTAATATATAGTTTCAATAAAAATGAAAAATAATCTACCAAAAGTTTATAGAGATTTTTGAGTAGAAAAAATTACCGGTTATAAATATACTGATAATTGTCTAAAACAATACTAACTGACATATTGTGGAAAAATATTAGTTTTCATATTTAACTGTCATATACGTAATTAAATATCAAATAAATTAGTTTGTCTAGCTGAATATAAAAATATCTGTTACGTTTGTTGATCACACATTATTTTATTAATAAGTATAATAACCATTGGCATAAAATATTTAAAAATACGTTTCAATGTATTTGTAAATGATTGTGTACATTCGCAATAAACTTTCATTTTTTGAGTAAGTTATGTTTTAGAAAATATTTGTATGAATCCTTTGCACATAAGAGCTCATTGTTTGTGCTCGTTAACGCTTGTGTAATACGTGTATAATTGTTTTTTCCTTCACGTTGGGAAATTCTAGTTAAACCTTATTTTACTTATCTCGAGGACCAGGCAAGTATGTAAGCCATATTTTTGTTGACGCTGTAAAAGTCTCCTGAATTTTCACAATGCT